GTAAGGTTTGTGCACCTGTGCTTCATAGCAGATCCCCTGTTTCCCTCCCCATCCACCAAAAGAGGAACTCCTCTCTGACCTGGGCCTTGACAACTTTTCAGGCAACTGGAAATGTCAAGTACCCAAGACTCTCTACTGCTACAGAGAGAGGAGGGTGGGCCATTGGTGGGGCACCAGCTCTGGGTGGAGTTGAAGAGCAGAAAAGGCAAGCAAGAGAGGAGCCGGCCACTCATTTCTCAAAGGAGCTGAGTCTTCAAGGGTTGAGTTTCCTTGACCCTGGATGTTCCTCATCCTGGTAAGGGAAGGAGAAGGCAGGGAACGGAGTTTTGTTTCATAAACTAAGGCCAGATCCCACATGCAGAGTGACCCTGTGGTTCCAAGAAAGTCTTGTCACTGAGAAGGGGTCAAGCCCATCTAAAGAATACACAGTTGGAAGTAGACTGAACCAAGCCCTCAGTCACCTACCAAGACCTGCCCTCCTTTCCTCAGACTCCAGCCAGCTGGATCCACTCATTGACCCCAGAATACCACATCTGCCTTCCCACTTCTATACTTTGGTCAATGTGGTCGATGTGCCACCGGGAATGCCATTGTTTCTCTGTCAACATTTGACAACCTCCTTTCAGAAATCCAGCTCAAATCCATGACACTAGGAAGATTTTTTCTGATTCCCCAGTTTGAGGAAATGAGTCTCTGTCTCTTTGGAATAACCAAGAACTCTGTTCTTTTCTTCTTCTACCTTATATTAGAGTGGGGTAAGGGTCCTTCATATTAGATGGTGAACTTTTAGAAGGCAGAGACACTTATTCATTAAGCTCAATGTCTCCCCATGGTCAGGGTTCAGCAACATTTAATGACCTTCCAAGTCATCTATCAACCTTTATTATTTATTAAGTGCTGCTGTGCTGTGGACTCCCAGTGAGGCACTGTAAATTAGCACTGAACTACAGACCACAAGGTCAGCTGCTCAAACCCACCAACTGCTCCTTGGAAACCCTATACAGGGTCATTATGAGTCACTATGACTCCACAACACTTAACAACAACAACAACAACAGCTGCATGTAAGAGCCCTGGTGTGGCGCTGTAGGATAAGCACTGAACTAGTAACAGTAAAATCGTTAGTTCAAACACCAGCGGCTCTCAGAAACCCTACACAGGGCACCATGAGTTGGACTAGACCCAATGGTACACAACAACAACTATACACAGGGATTGTGCTTCCTGCCTGGTAGTGGAATGGCCTACTACGAACTGTAAGACACACCCTGTACCTAACAGTGCACAGACAGATATGCTAACTGACAAGTGAGGAGCACATCCAGCCAGGGCTACAGGGGTCCTGAGAAGAGAGAACAAAGAGAGGATTTGATTAGAAGGGCTGGGGGAGGCTTGGCCTGCAGGCAGGAAGAAGGTCCTTTCCCTAGCCCCAAGCCCCTTGACCTGAAATCATCTTCCAGCGAGTATGAACCTGGCTCATGATCCCTCCTTAAAGGGAGGACAATGGGATTATGATCTAAGAAAGGGAGTAAGAAAGATGGGTCCAAACTCTGAGGAGACTGGGAGTCTGGCAAGGTGCTGGCTGGGTCTGTGGAATCCCCTGACCTCAAGAGGGAGGGGAGGTTCCCATGTGAGCCAACATAGGAGGTTCCCATTCAAACATCCCTTCTCTATACCTCCTCAAGGGCCAGAGTCCTTGGTTGGTCGCCAAGAAGTGAAGCCAGCCAGCCAAGAGCCTTGGGAAAAGCACTGTGCTTTGGACAAGGGAGAAGAGGAAGCTGTCCCTGGACAGAGGGTCGCTGGCTGAACCCTTCCAGGAAGCTTTTTGTGGGGGTTGATCAGAGTGTGGTCTGGCTTCTGCCCTCTCTAAGGGCTACCACTCAGCTGCAAGAGCCAAGGCCCTCCCAGACACCTCTTCTCCAGCAGAGAGTCTGCCACTTCTCCAGAGCCAGCGCCCCCTGCTGATGCTGCAATTTCAAGGGCTCTTGAACTCACCTTTCTCATGGAGAATGATGGTTCTGGAACAACCTCTCTGTAGAAAGCCTGTCAGCGCTGTCTTGCTTTGATCTGGGAAAACCTCTTCAGGAGGTACAATGGGTCACCTGTTCCAGCTCTTTCTCAACAGATTTTCTTGAATTCCTTTGGTGCTGCCACCATTAATCTACTTCCTGGGTTCTTCCTGCTATCACAAACTAGAAGAGAGGAAGGAACAACTACATAATAGAAGAGAGAAGCCCACAAGCAAGACTAAGCAATGTTGTTGGATGCCTAGAGACATGGTCCTTACATGTCTAATCTTGGAGCATGAGATGCACAGCCAGTATTTGGCAACAGATGAGAGAGGTAGCAATCTAAATATTTTCCAAAGGGTCTGAAATAAGTCCCCTTCCTTTAACAGAAGTGGTGAAGGGGCAATGCTGAGAATTCAGTACCTACTGCCTTATTTCTCCCTTTATAATAATATTCAAACCACTTCCTACTTTACTTCATGATACTTAAACCACTTGACTGCCTTGCTTCTTTGATAAAGAATTATTCAGTTAAAACATGTTGCAGGTGAAATCAGGCACTGTTAATAGTGATGCTAGAAAAACAGATGTGGGCCTGACCAACCTCACTAACAAGTGCACAATACATGAGGAACCCCCCAGCACTCCCATGTCAAGCTTCAGCAAGAACTCAGCAAATACCTCCTCGTAACTTAAAGCTATGGCCGTTTGCTGATGACCTGAGGTGGACGCTATGTGGAGGACAAAGGTAAATCCACCCTGCTTTCCCACCACTTACCTCCAATAGGGAAGTGAGAACAGGACACAAGTGACAGCTGCCTTGGGAATGGGGTGGGTGATCCAAGGAAAGATTTTCTTGAATAAACTGACATCTCAGAGGAATTTTGCCCTAAGACTGTGCCAAAATGGAGAGGCTGATTCATCTGGGCAAACATTCTGACTCTAAACCCATAACAAAGTCAGCCCTGGGATGTTAAAGAGCATCCATTAGAACAAGGGTCTTGAGTTTTGTTTTCCGTTCATGGTGTCTGACTCACACACTTATAAAAGTCCAGTCCTGCTCTTAACCTGATGGTCCATTGGTTCCTATCAGTGCTCAGCCTATAGCAGCAGCTGTACCCTATGCACAGGAGAAGAATTATGTCCAGAGCTGCAGAAAAAGTGCATGAGTCCATCTGAACCTCCTTCAGGGAACACATGTGCATCACTGGACGTGGCCAATGTCATAACGGCCGTACGTGACTTGGGACTTCATGTGTACAGCCACCTGGCACTTCTGCCACCATTGTGGCATGGGAGAAACAAAAACCATCCCTACAGGAGATGACATGGGAGTGTATAGGTTTGGAGATTTTCAGTGACTCACAGGATCCTGGACATGTATGTAATTAAATGGTCTTTGTCACCTTCCAGCAAACCTCACTCAGTTGAGGAATACAAATCCATCATGGCCGCCTTTGAAGGAAGGCAAAGCTCTGGACGCAGGGCTCACTGAGGAAATGCAGTGAAATTGCCCACTAAGAGACATTTTTCTTCCACTCCACTCATTCCAAAGACAGTGTTTTATTGCTAACCTAGATGTTCCTGCAACTCTCCCAGTCAATGGGAAAGTGTTCTGGCCTGAGGTAAGAGAGCCGGTCTTTACCCTGACTGCCTCTTACAAGCTATGTGGCCTTTACTGGGCAACCCCTTTCTCTGTCCTGAGCCCCCATTTCCTCATGAGTCACGTGGGGAAAGGCTGCCTGCCTCACTTGTGCAGTGAGGACTGACGTCTGTGAAAGAACTTTGAAGTGGTAAGCAGCTGCACAAAGGTGAGACAGCATGATCATCAGTGTTGACTGGAAAAAAAAAAATCTGACTTCTCATAACCAAACCTCAGTTAACTAGAATTGAGTGAGGAATGGTTATGCTAAAATTTCAGGCCGAATTAGGTTCAACACAGGCCGCCTTGGCCACCCATGTTGTGGAAGTGAAAAGGTGGAATTGTAGAATGAAGGCCACTCTGGGGTAGGGTGTAAGGACGAATCTGGCCTGACCATTAGGAAGTTTCTTTTGAAAAATAAATTTAATCAATATTTATAACTTTTTCTTTTTCCTCAAACAGAAGAGCCAACAATTTTCTGTTTTTAAATCTTCATGCTTTAAAATTCCAGTGACCCATGTTCTTGGTTTTCTCTTGTTGGTTCCAACCTAAGATGTTTTGTGAATCCTGATCCTGCTTCCATCCGCCCATCTTCCTTCCTCCTTCAGCTCCACGTCTACTGCAGCCTTCCCATGTGGTCAATCCGACATCTTAAGTTTAAAAACCATTACCTCAGAATTTCAGTAGAAAATCTAGTTCTATTGCTTTGTGTCTCATAGTAAGCTTCAGTCCAGTTAATTGAGAGCTTTATGTTTTGTTTTTAATTCAGAACCAAATTTTCAGAATCGAATAATGAAGGTAAGCAGTGTATCTGACTGACTCTGTAGCTTTTTGTTTATTGTTAAGTGCCTTTGAGTCAATTCCCACTCACAGCAACTCTGTATAGGGTTCCTGAAGAGCGGCTGGTGAGCTTGAGCCGCCTGACTTTGCAGTTCAAACTGACCTTTTGGTGCAGTGCATTAACCCACAGTGCCACACCAGGACACCCAACTCTATGGCTAGTGAGGGGAAGAAAAAGTTCAAGAGTCATCCTAGATATGAAAAGATGAATTAGTTATTTTGTTTTCCTTGTAATATAATTCTTTGGTAAAGACTAACTGCGGGCGGTGTGTCTTGTATGTGGGAGAAGCAAATATTTACCTGTATGTAGTTTGCTAATGGTTTAAGTTTTTCTATCACGGCTGTTTTAATGTTAAGGCAAGATGTCTTCCTTTTGCTAATGGTTGTATTTTTCCTATGACTTTTAAAAAGTCATTTCCCCTGAACTCCTCTTTGGGTCAAAAGCGCCTCCTGTGAAGGCAATCTGGTGCTAAGCCCCTGGAGTGAGGTGTCTCCTCCTTTCACACCAGGTCTCCCCAGCAGCACCCACGGGCCTGATCCCGCCCTAACCCCTTCACACCCTGGTAGTTTCTATCAGTACAAGGACCTCTCTTGGGCTGGCCACTTGGCCACTGTCTCCACTGGTCTTCACCCCCATAGGCCAGACAGTGAGAGGACGTGGCGGTCTTCTACCTTCATGCAGCCTGTTGGCCCTTTATCCAACAGCTTCCAAAGCCCTTTAGCAATTCCCTCAGGAAACAGGAGCCTCAGTCCAGCAGCCCAGGCTGTTAAAGATGGTCCTCTTGGCCCTTCCCTCTCCAAGTGCTGGCCCACTTCCTTGTGGTATCCCCTGAAGATTTCCCACCTACTTCCTTGCATCTGACCTTATTCTGTTTTCTTTCTTTTCCATTTTTTCCTCATTTACTCCTAACCCCTAGATCACTTGGCTGTCTCCCCTGTCCCTATTCCTACCCCCACCATCCCAACAGCTCCCCAATATTTCTCTCAGTTCAGCACTTGTCCCATCTACTGAACATCATTATTCTCTACCTTGGTGAGAAAAAAAGTCTAAAGTCTTGTCAATTTATGTGACAGTTTGTTTTGTTTCTTTTCTACCAAACACTCCTAGTACCTTTCATTGAAATTGATAATTTGATAGTTGTATCATTTATGTTTCCCCATAAGAAGGAAAATGTACACACTTGTATTTTCTAAGTCTGACAAAACATTGTTCTTAGGACCTACTAGTAAAGAAATGCTTACTAATGGTCTTTATTTCTTGATTTAATGTTCATATAAACAAAGTCCCTAAGGCTTCCTATTGTTTAAAAGTTTGATATTTCACAGAAAAGGTCTTAATGTAGACCCATGGGCTCTCCATCTCAGTAAAGGAATCTTCTACCACCCCTAGAAGTCAAAAACTTTGTCTTGATCTCAATAGGTTAAATGCACTTCTCCTTATGCTTAGCATGGTTTGCTTTGGTTTTTAACCACATAGGAAAATCTATTCCTTCTGGAGGTTTTCTTAAAGTGGTGTTCTGGCTCAGAGCTGAGTCCATGCCCTCCCTCCCCTTCCAAACTTAGGGAGAAGGTTGCGATGAACAGAGGGCTTCTACAGAGGGAAGATTCCTTTTACTGTGAAAGACCAGCAAAATGCTCCAAGAAGTGTTCGTTCCTTTTTCTTTGGGTATCTACTTGGTGGATGGATTGTTGGGATCTGGGATTAGGCCATCAATAAATTCCAGAGAATACCAGTGCCAGTTATTCGTGGCAGAAAATAGAAAAGCGAATTTCTTTCTTAAAGACCAACTCTTCGGTATGGCTTAGCCAAAAAACAGACAAGCCAAAAAACAGACATTGCCATGACCCGTCTGTCTTCCCATGAATCTTTGGGTGCCTACAGAGTCACCGTGACCATCAAACTGCAGTGATAAGTTCTGTGCATGCTCCAGAGTGGTCCAATCAATGTAAGAATATAGTTCTCTGAATGATCTTGTTGCTGCCATAAGGCTGAAGGAGTTTATAATGACTGTACTTAAGAGAAAGTAACACCTGGTTTTTATGTGTTGATGGAAGGCATTACGGCAAGTTCATATAAGATGGAGTGATGTCTCTGGGAATATGATTAGGCTTTGACCGTATTAAAATATACCTCATACAAGCCCTAGGCCAGCCAGTACAGTCAGAATAGAGCAGCCTTCTACTCTACTAATTGGCCAAGAAATTTCATGCTATTGCTGGTGCACAAACTCTAAGGAACTGGCTGGTTCCACATTGAGGTACAGCCTCCAGTCCCCCTGTCCAAACATTAGCTTAGTCATAAACCAAGGTTCCCCTACTTGGAAGGGCACTGAAGGAAGGTTGGTTTCCCCAGCTGTTTTCTTTTCTGAAATAGACCCTCACTGAGGTGACTTTTGCAAAGTCTTGAGGCACTTACATAGAGTTCTTCAAAGTGCTGTTGGTACCAAACTTAGTGCTCACAGCTGTCAGTCCTTCCACACCAGGCTGCTGACTACAGGAGTAAGGGAACTTTCTAGGGGAGCCTAGCAGATATGGGACCTCTTAGGCTTCCTCTTACAACCTCAGAAAGGCAGTCCGCTGGATTGGACTATCACAAGAACATGGTCCTGACCTCAAACTTGGCCTCTCATTCCTGACTAAAGGGACCTCTTCTGGGTAGAATCCCTGCATTGCAGATCATGACTTTTCCCCAACAACCTCTAGTCTGACTCTACCAAGCACAGAGGCACCCTGAAGGCATAAATTGGCAATTGACTGCCGACTTAAGGCTTGGCAGTTCAAATCCACTCAGTAACTCCACAGAAGAAAAAGCTTGGTGATCTGCTTCCATAAAGATTGTTATTAAGTGCTGTCAGTGACCCTGTATAGGGTTTCCGAGGAGCAGCAGATGAGTTTGAACCGCCAACCTTGCAGTTCAAGCAGCTTTGCAGTCTGGCGCATTAACCCACAGCACCACACCAGGACTCCAAAAAAAGCACACCCCACCAAGCACAAAGCCATTAGCTAATAATCTACAAATGGGCTGCAAAGAATTTTAACTATCAATTTGAGAGATTTCTTTATAAGATTATAGAGTCTTACATCCTATGTCAAGGATTTAGTAAAAATGCTAATTTACTAGGAAAAGACTATAAAAGGGAAGGTACCCAGTACTGCCTCTTTGCCCAACTTTCTGCCCATTACAAATTTCCACAGCAATCCCAGACTGATCTTACCAGTAAGTTTATTAAAGCAATTGAGTTGTTCACATTTGTCACCTGAACTCTTTCATTTTAATTATTTTCTTTGCTATTTGGCATTTGGTGCATTGGGATGTACAATATTTAAATGTACAATATTTTATTTCCATTATAAGTTGGATAATGGAACAGAGTTTCTGTTGCTTTCCACAGCCTTCAGATAATTTCAGAAATATTTAAATGCTCCCATTTATATATGTTGTACTATTGCTACTGCCGTCTCTGTCAATACCATGGGACATATCCTGATGCTACAAGTACTGTCTCTTTTTTATTATGATTATTATTACTATTAAGGAGCTCTAGTAGCGTAGTGTTTACAAGTCAGGCTGCTAATCTCATGGTCAGCAGTTCGAAACTACCAGCTGTTCCACAGGAAAAAGATGAGGCTTTCTGCTCCTGTAAAAATGTAATGCCTCAGAAACCCTGCTATGCAGGGTTGCTATGAGTCGGAACCAACTCCTCAGCACATAACCAACATGATCACTATTATTATATTGTCATTCTTAAGTTTGGACATTTTTTCCAGTACACTCAATTTATTTTTTTAAATTACCTTGGATATTTTCAAAAGTATGTTGTTTTTTGAAATAGACACAGGAAAGAGCTTTGCTTAAGCTCTTTGACAGATATTTTCATTAAAGGATTGGTCCTTTCAAATGCTACCTATGTGGTTTTCTTTACATACAACCGCTCTTTGTTGGTTTCAGAAGGTCAAATGCACTTTTCTTTATACCTATCATGACTGGGTTTGATTTGGGTATGATTTCAGCAAATTTTGTGCTTCTCTGCTGGATCATTCTCTCCTTCCCATTCCTGCCTTTGATTTTTGATTGTCAGTGATTCAGTTTGCCAGTTCTCGAACAAACAAGGTCAAAGGTATCTGTTTTCCTTGTCAATGAGATCTTTGCTCCACTTCATTTATATCAGGCTAAAAGTGAATGACAGAGAAAACATCTGGTCTGGGTTTGACCGAAGACCTACTGAATCAGATGGTTTCACAATGAAGTGGGGAACAGAGACTCCATTTAACCCCATACCACATCTGTTTGACACTTCTTGCCTTCTCCCACCTCAAGACAAGCCCCCTGCTCCCCAACAAGTTAATACATGCAGAAGTGGGTAGTGTGGTCTTGGTTGAGAAAAGATCATCCTCCCTGATATGAAGAATTTAATCCTTCCAACCCAAGGCCAAAATGACACCAAGTTAAGGCACCTGCATGGGGGACCAGAAGAAACAGGTTCTGGTTCCAATCCTACAACTGATTCAGTAAGAGACAGCCCTCTGGGTCTCATTCTATACGGTACAGGGCTAGACATTCATTGCAACTCCAGTATCCCATCCGTATCCAAGTAGTTTTGTTAAATGTGTTTATCTTTAAGACTTAGCTAAACAAATCGACCGGGTCCTTGGAATGCAGCTTTGCTACTGCCCAGATGTAGAGGATTTTAACGAGTGAGTACAACTACTCTTTTAAGTAGGAGGCTGTACCCACCACCCCACCCCCACCCCCGCACCACAGTGATGTAAAAGGATCAAAAGTGAACCAAGAAAGCTGTGTGGGGAGATCTATTACTAATTATACTAAACAAAGGCTCTTTTTGGAGAGGCCATCAAGGTAAAAAAATAAAACAGCAACTGGCTAAAGGAGCAAAATGCGTAGACAACAGTTAGCCTTAGGCACCTCAACTTGCAAAAAACAAGAAATTGCTAGATAATTTATTCCCTGTTGAAATGATGGTCCTTGGTGTCTGTGTTGTCCTAGAGTTTCACCATCTATTTTGTACTTATTATCTACAGTGTAAATACTTTCCATTGTAAAAAAAAAAAAAAAAAAAAAGTAAATATTAATTATATATTATATTTCTGTCTTTTCTAAAATGGAAATTAATCTAAGTAATAAATTACAAATCATCTGTGCCTAGTTCTTTCTTCTTTTCTTTCTTTCTTTTTTTTTTTGAGAAATTGTATGCCTTCCCTCTTTAGATCCTTCAAAACAGAAAGGGAGTTTCATGATTAAAGGGAGGCTTCATTCCTAACTAATGGAAGTAAGATGGTGTTGTATAAAGAGGAATTGATTAGGGGTCAGGAGATGGATTCTTAGTTCTGACTCCTTCATTAATAGATATGGGACCCTGACTAAATCGCTTTAACCTCTTGGAGCGCCATGTTAAAAATGAAAACAGCTGCTGTACACAGTTGGAAAAATGAGATAAGATGATGGATACAGAACATTTTGAAAGTAAAAAGTTGCTCCTCAGATGCGAGGAATCATTCAATGTTCATTTGCACTTTTGTCCGTTTGTTA